AGGACACTACAATGGGGGAACAGAGGACACTACTGTGGGGGGGTTGATTTGAAGCCGAGCAGAAGACACTTCTGAGAGGCACTGTGTCCTTTGTGCCATCTTTTTATTGGGGGCTTGATAAAAAAAAAAAAAAAAATTATCAAGCAACGATGCTGCACCCCAGGGATCTTTGATGTCCTGTATGTTGTCCTCGTAGATCTCAACCTCTGAAAGGTTTCCTACCTGTGGTCTATGGGGTAGTCTCGGTGGATGAATGCATGCAGGGCCTTTTCCCAGTAAGTCACCTCCTGTGATCTCTATTACAGCCAGAACTACAAATCTCTGTGCCGGACAGGAGACTGGGGGCTGAATAAACGGAAAGATTTAACAAACTCTGCAGCAGCCAGAGATGGGGCCGGCCATACATGGTTCAAATGTCGGCCAGTTCAGCAGGAACCAGCCAAGGATCGAACCATGTGTGGGCAGGCTGAATGTACCAACTTGTGCTGTTGACAGGGAGGGGTTCAGTTCTGCACTTTTGTTGGCCCCTCCTGTCCTGAGATTTGTGGTTACATCATTTTGTGCATGTCACGTCCAATGAAAACTTCCCAGCATGTGGTTAAGTGTGATCTTAATTGTCTTGTACTGCAGAAGGATCTGTAATCAGACCACGGTGTTATGTGCTGCTGCTTTCAGGTGATTGGGAATGTTCCCTGTGCCCCCTCATAGAATCCCACCTACTCTGTGTGTCCTTCGGTGGTGGACCTCTTCTCTGGAGACGTTTCTACACCAATACCTTCTGAATGTTTGTTTTACTGGGTGGTCCTCCAGGCCTGAGCTGATGCCTGCTTCAGTTTGAGGGCCTGTTTGCTGCTGTTTGTTTATATTGTTGCCCAGTTTTATTGCTTAGGGGCATCTCCTGGTCTTACTACAGATCCTGTGCTGTACAACGTACCAATCAAGTCCATTACAGTACGGGACACAGGCTCCTTCCCCTCTCTTTTCTTTTTGCTTGTGGAGTGGCCAGGGTTATAGGAGTGCACTGGCTGGTGTTTTTGCCAATGTCTTATCCTCAGAAGGTAGTGGTATGTAACCCGGGGTCTAGGGGTACAAGTCCTGAACTTTACTCCAAGGTATGGAAAAGTCAAAATTCTTGTTTTTTTTTTTTTTTTTTCATCTTAGTAAGGACTCCAAAAGAAAATGATTTTTTTCCAGTAAAGAGCTTAATATTGAAACCTGATTTGTTGCCACAGGCAACACCCATCTTATCTTACCATAAACACACCTTTAGGGTCATAAGAAATAACATTTCCAATTGCATATCCGCCTACAAATGAAATCAATTAGAAATGCTCATTTAATTTTATCTGTAGGTGGAATGCTGAACACTGAGGCAACGCCAAGCTTCTATCGTTTGGTGTGTGTGTGTATATATATATATATATATATATATATATAAAATGTGTGTGTATATATAATGTGTGTGTATGTATACTCCAGACAAATATCCAGCACCTTTCAGTAAGGACATGAATTAAAAACAATTGTATTAATATATTGTCTGCCTGAAAATGAAGCCTTGAAATGCCTGCAAGGCACACAACCTACCTGTTTAGCAGGGTTCAACAGTAGTAGTCTGGGGCCTAAAGCAGCAGGTTTAGAGTACTGAACCTCCGTTTACAAATTGTGAATTTGGAGGTCAGAAATTAACTCTTGTCAGAAGGAGGGAGGTGGGAGGGGGTTGAGAAGGGTCATAAGACTCTCTACAGTTCAAAAACCCCAAACCACCTCTCTTGTGTATGGTTCGGAGGCCTGTATAGATGAAATGTCCTGCATATAAATTTAGCAGAATGTCCATCTTATTCTGGGCATGGCTACAGCGTGCCAATCACTCCAAGAACCCATGTTGGTTCCCTGTTAGAACAGGAGACGGTGAGTTTCTTATGTGAGCCTGGATGGTGTACAGCCGATCATACATAGGTACTGCAAATATTGTATGTAAAGTATGTTCTGGGACGGACAGCAGGCATGTTTTCCTTCAAGACCCTATGCACACGTCTTTTCCTTCCTCTGGACGCCCTGCCTATGCTACAGGGGAGGAGGAAGCAACGTTTAAAACAAGCCTACAGCTGCGTTTTGAGAGCATGTTTCGGTGTGTCAAGTGCTTGCTTGGGTGTTCATTGATTTCATTGGCCAGAATATTCATCTATTTTGGCCATTGGAATGAACAACGCCCAAGTTAAGTGCGCTTAGACATATAAAATTCTCCTCTCCTGAATGCGCTGGTCCTGGGTTTCTTTTCTGTCTCTAAACGCATTTATGTGCATTGACATAGAAGTTAATATAGAGGGGTGTTTAGAGGCAGGAAAAAAATGCAAAATGCCTACAAAGGTGGCAATGTAGCCCCCCTGTGTGCAATATAGGACCTTACCTTCACACACCTGTATAGCCGAATCTATTTGTAACCTTTCCCATGCATTGATTGTGGATCAGATAAATGGCAAGCAGTGACCTCATCTATAAGGAGATGAACTGTGAATGCTGTCAGTTTGGATGGCTTTGCTGTGTGGCTTTTCCTCATTAATAGTTCAGATACAACATTTTCTAAGGACTACAAGGCCCAGCATCACCTGCCATCCAATGTGTAAGTAACATTTTATTTTTTCTATATGTGGAATTGATTGGCATCCAATGGTCTAGGCAGACCCAGCATTCTATGTCATCGTAACGTGTTTTTTTTCTTTTATTATTTTTTTTTCATTTTCTTTTATTTTTTTTATTATTATGTTATGAAGCTGTGGTGATGATTCCCATTGCAGTAGAGAAATGATGGCGTTGAGAAAAATATATAGGGAAGAGTTTCTGTACTGCACGGGTGTCAAATTGGTGGCCCTCTGGCTGTTGCCAAACTACAAGTCCCATGAGGCATTGCAAGATTGACAGTTACAAGCGTGACTCCCAAAAGGCAGAGACATGATGGGACTTGTAGTTTGGTAACAGCTGGAGGGCCGCCAGTTTGACACCCCTGATCTACTGTCAGGAGAGTTAACAAGTGTATGGTTATTACTGTATGCCAATTTGGTACATTCACTTGAATATACAGCAGCCTGATGATGTATGTGTTTTGCCTATTGATTCTCTCTGTGCCCCGGTGAAAACCCTGCCACCTGGACTTGGTGGTAGAATTGGGTCTCAGCACTGTATCTCCCCCCTCCCCCCACCCACCCCAATCCACCAGCAAGTGCTTCAGGTCACCAGCAACCTGCAGCATTGAAGACATAGGCTAAGTTCACACTAGCTTTGTTAGCAGGCATTAGACAGGCGTTTGGGAAGAATTTTTAACGCTCCTCAAACGCTTATGAAAATTCTCCACATGGCAGCACACAGTGCTGTTCACACTGAAGCCTTAGCGTCGCGGCCAAATTGACACCTCATGTGGAGTCAGGTGGTGTCGAAGCCTCCCATTCAAGTCTATGGTGACGCTCCTCAAATGCCTGGCAGGTGTTTGCAGGGTGTTAATACCATTAAACTTCATTATAGGCGTTTGTGGTGTGGTTTTAATGCTTCAAAAACTATCAAACACCTCCAAAATGCGCATAGGGCATTTGAGTGTTAAAAACGCTTCCCAAACGCCCGTCAAAAGCTATAGGGGTGCTTGGCAAGCATTAGAAATTCGCCAAGTGTGAACGAGCCCTCCGTTTATCAGCGTTTGATGATTTAGCCCCCCCGTCGGTAACAGACTGAAATCCCGGAGACCCTGATATTTTGTATTAATAACTTTATTTCCAAATCCACTTTTACAGCAACATACCGTGTGAACCAGCTGGTCAGACACGACACAGAATATGGACAGCCACAGACACAGAGAAAAGGGTGGGGGGTTGATTATCAATGACGTTAACAGAGAGGAGAAAGGAAGGCAATACTGAAATTAGGGAGGGGGGTGGGGCTTGCGGAGATGAGACAACCTGCTTATTGAAAACTAGCAGCCACTGCAACTTCTTCAATCCCATATTTTGTGAACGCAGCGAGGTCAGAGAGAGAGAGCTCGGCAGAGATCCTTAGCTTATTGAAAGGCAAAACAGGGTAGATGTGTGGGTTAATCATTGGCCGGTTACAATGAAAATGATCAACATGCTTCTATAATGGATTCAACCTGCTCACTGCCAACGCAAAGGCCTTACCCTACCAGGAAAGAGCCGCAGAGGGTGCTGGGGGTGAAGGGTCATACTAACAATGCCCTGCAATGGAAGAGTCTCCCTTTGCACTATTTTGGCAGTACTCTGTTTGCCATGGGGGGGTCTTTTGGTTTGTCCCTAACTTCAGCTGGGAGGGGGGGGGGGGGTTTGAGAGGAAGTGCCAGGCGGCCCCAAATAAATATTTTGTGTCTCCGTCTGGAAAACATGCAACAGCTTTCAGGTCAATCCATTACAATCAATCTTAATTCTAGAAGATTAAAAAAAAAAACAAAACAAAAAGGGTGTTAAACTGAGCAGATGCTGACTTAAGGAGGCCCTCTTGGCCTGCAAGGAGCAAATGGCCGCCTAGGGTGGAAACACAAGACCAGTGCAGGATAGATGATATAACCTGCTCCTTCTGGGGGTGAGATTCAGCTACTGTCAAAGGTAATGGGGGTTGTGATAGAGGGGTGTGCTCTAGATCCAAACATTGGTGGTCCGGTCTATCGGGTACAAGTGGGCACTTAGGAACAACACTCTCCTTCAACACCCCTTTTAATAACGCAAACCAAAATATACATAAACATTGTTTAATACCATCTTTGCCTCCGGAGCAATGAAAAGAATATACACCTATGATTTTCTCCCCTCTGCTACTAAATGGGTGGAGATGGTCTTCCGAGGATGGGAAGTGTAATAAATAAGTATACAAGAGGCCCGGTTTAATTATGCAATTGAGTGTGGGATTTTCTTTTTGTTACTTTTTCCCTTTTATTTTTTACGTTGGATGCGTCCCTCACACCCTCCAGCTCCCATCATCCTTCCTCCTTGGGACGGGACATATCACAAGCCTTGTTTGGCAAGGGAGGCGGAGACTTGGTCGGCCAGTGTGGACAGTTGCGGGGAGTCGGACATGTTTATGCTGCCAGAAGAGGAGACGTTGCTGAGACGGCGGGGGGAGGTTTCCCCGGATGGGTTGGGAGACTTGTACACGATCTCTGCTCCGTGGTCCGTCTTGGCTTTTGCGTTCTCCCGGAAAGATAGTTTGTGGGACTCAATCTGGGGGGGGGCAGGAACCGAAAGAAATTAGAGTGGGGCTGTAATGTGCCCGTGACACCACCAAAACAGCATGTACGTGGTGCAACCCTGTGCTACAGCCCATAGTGACCACTCAGAAACGACAAACTGGTTGCTGTGTGTTAGAGCATGGCTGGCCTTTGGTTTGTTGGGAATCAAATTTTTACTTGAGCTATTGTAGATCATTCGCTTTCATGGTGTAAATTCTGTATCAAAACCACTAGAACATTTAATGAGCCACAGAAGAAAGGAAAAAAAAAAGCTTCACTAGCACAGCAAAATATGCTTTACTACTTTTCTAATCTCAGTGCAAATATATTGATAGAGCTGCTAAAATGCCAGCATATTGGAATGGTGAAGGATTAGGACCTCTAGTCTTCGTCTATCTATATTGAGAAGATTTTCCCCAATTTGAACTCTTTAGATGTGCTTATGTGTTTGTAACACAATGTGGTACATTTGAAGGAGGAAACCACCCTATACAAAAACCTTGTGTGTTCATTGATGGACGCAAGAATTCAGATACTTGTAGGGTTATATTTCTACCCCCACTGGCACTTTTATTTGGCCCAAGTAACACCTACCTAGCATGCCCCAGTTCTTTGCCCATGTTCCAAGAGAATATCTTTTCTTCAGCTCTGCTGAGAAAGGTGTCAGTTTTTGCTAGGCGTTTGTCTTCGAGTTTATTTTTGGAATTTGCCTCCCATAGGCTTCAATCAAGCTTCTTCACTGTATTGCTGTCTTATAAAGACAAGCTCAAGCAGCAGTCCAGCATGGCCCTTCCTAAGCCTAGCTTTGAAGTGCTGTATCTGGACCTCACTAGACTGGATGTGTGGGGCTAACCCAGAAGTAGCCTTCCAGCACCGAGTTCTGCTTGTGGTGCTTTCCAAACAGTAAGTCCTGGTGGTTGGCTTTGGAGCACTTTCCAGGTACAGAACCATGGCACTGCCTGAACACTTAACTAATTTCTTATGTATACTGACTGCAGAGCCTCTAACACCGGATCCTCCTCACAGTTACGGTGTTGACTAATCGGAATTGTTCTGGTTTGGCCCAGAGGCAGAAGAGTGGGAGATGTCCGTGTAATTTCACTTTACACTCTCTGTAAAAGTAAACCAACCCTTTAAATCACAAAACCATGGCATAATTGGTTGGATGCCCCCAAAAAGATCTCTCTGCAGCTGGGGTAGACCCTTCCTTGGGGCACATAAGGCCCTTTGTTAGCTGGTATCCCCTCAATATTGCTCCTTTGCATAGGAACCCTCTGTCCTCTAGGTCAGCTGGGACCAGCTTTGACTTTGCTTCACCTTGATAAGGTGTGCATGGGGGTGATACTGAGGATTTAGATTCCTGATACTTCTCAGAGCATTGATTGCTGTGTCTGGCAACCTTTGGGACACAGCAACCAACTGAAGAGAGTTGACATCATGAATTGTAGTGTCTCCACGAGTAGTTTAATGCTTTCTCAGGTTTCAGAATTGGAAATGGGCACCTGTATCAATAGTAACTAACATAGTCCCTCAATGGGAAGGTTCACAGCATGTTTATCTTCAGGCCTACATCATCGGTGGATAGTATTTATCCTTCTCTGCTCTTTTGCAGGAGCCTTGGCCATTAACAAACATCCTTTCTCTCATCTCTAGGTCTACCTTAGCCCCCTTCTCCACTGTTAAAAGTCTAGTTCTGTGCAGTCTAAGGTGTCTGCCTCTATGGACCAGGTATTTCCTGGTGTGATCCCTCTCCATCAGGCAGCTGCTAGCATTCTTCTTTCCTCTCGTTAGAGAATCTTCATTTTCAGGGTTGTATCCTAGTCTCCCAGTACAAGCGATTTCCTTCTAAATCATGAGATTGGGCAGGTCTCCTAGTTTGGTATCCATTAGACACCATCTAGCTACTGCTATGTCTTTGCCACTGTGAAGGAAAGAAGTCCTCCTGCACCAAGCGAGGTAGTCTGCTTCCTATGCTGGACAATGCCATGAGTCTCCTTCTTGCCTGCACTGACCCTATGACAATCCCCTGAGAACTGGGTTCCCATGTATTCTACCCTAATCATGGTGACTTTGGAGTTTGCCAGAGAATCCAGTCACACAGAGTCACTCTGTACCCCTTTTGTAGGCAGTTCTAACTAAATTCAAGTTTTTCTTTGGCATGGTTAATTGTCTGGCCAGACAGTCCCTGTTTGTATGGAGTTTCTCTTCTTTCCTTGAGTCTAGTGGGCCAGCGGTGCAAGACTTAGTAGGGTCTTCTCCATCAATGGAATGGACAATCTTGCCAGAACACTACACTTTTCTTAGGATCCTTCCAGAGGCATGACTTCTATTCCCCATTGACTACATTAGGTTTGTGGTTCTTTCATACAGGAGAATTCATTGTTGTCATTCCATTTGGTTTTTTTTTCCTTCTATATGGGTCATATCCTTTGTGGTGACCTTTATTTCTTGGTCTTCAGCATCAGGTTGATTCTCAGTGTCCTATATCTGGTCATGTGTGTTGACAGGGGAGTTTGACCACATCTGAGTGAGATTCAGGCATTTGTCCTATTGGCTTTTTGGGGTGCAGGTAATCTTTTTCTGTACCTTTTTTTTTTTTGTGGGGGGGGGCAGTTGTTGCTGTTTACCTACCTTTCAGTTAGATTTTTAGGCATACCAACATTATCTGAATTCTATGTCCCTACCACTGTTTGCTTTGGTCTTGCTTGCTAAACTGAGGCATGCTGGATGGAGGGGGGGGGGGGGGGGGGGGTTTATCCCAAGAAAATCCTCTTTTAGGCATGACCTGACAATATCTGAATTCCTGTATCCTTCAATAACTTCAGGAGTTTTGTGTTCAGTGTGAAAATCCTTCTCATTTTTTCCCCATAGACATATGCAGGAAGTGCTTAAGTGTTACTAAACCCAGTACCCTGCCTTCACTAGATCTGGTCTCCCTGGACCCTGCCTTCACTAGATCTGGTCTCCCTGGACCCTGCCTTCACTAGATCTGGTCTCCCTGGACCCTGCCTTCACTAGATCTGGTCTCCCTGGACCCTGCCTTCACTAGATCCGGTCTCCCCGGACACTGCCTTCACTAGATCCGGTCTCCCCGGACACTGCCTTCACTAGATCCGGTCTCCCCGGACCCTGCCTTCACTAGATCCGGTCTCCCACAGTACACACAACATGGAAATGTTAGTAAATATAAACTGCTAAATACCTTTTCTCAGCAGCAGTTAAAGCAGTCGTGACTTCTATCAGTGTCCAGCAGAGCACTGGTTAAAGCTTGTAGGAGGTGGTTTCATTTTCACCTATGAGGCTGCAGGACTCCTGACCCTCTGTCTGGACAGTGCTGATTGGCCCTTTGCTGATCACAAGCACACTCCCAAGAAAAACACACTGCACATTCTCAGTTTGTTGTGTATTGCTAGCTTTCCCCCAAGCCCCTGTTCTAGCAGGAGATATATTGGGGACAGTAGAAGGGGAGGATCAGAGAAGACCTGATAAAACTGCCTTTTTACACAATGCAGAGAATTAACCCCATAGGTTCCACAGTGAGTATAACCAGAATGCTTTACTACATCTACAGACTGATTTTTCCTGTTGTGGGTTTAGTAACACTTCTCTTACTGACATATGTGAAGGTTCTCATGTATCCGGATCACGGCATGGAGTAATAATTGATCATGTTTAGTTCTGTAATGTTGAATGCATTTCCTCCCTCCTCATCTAAGTGGTGTATTAGTTCTATGGAGTGTCGGCCTTTTTATTGTAAGCCATGGGGTAGTGCTCCTGGGGTGACTGTTCTTTAATGTCTCACTGCTGGTGACTAACAATCTCAGGCTGGTGTTGCAGATATTTTAATAACCCCCCCAGGTTTGTGCACCAGTAGGTGATGGGAGTCAAAAAGCAGATAATACTGGGGGGGTAGTTTCCTGTAGACTTCGGTGTCCTTATCACTCTCCCTTGCCATGCAGTGCAGCCTGTAAAGCAGTGATCACTAAATGGCAGACCGTGGGACAGTCCTGTCCGGACTGCAGCCATGCCACAGCTGGGTGTCCTCTTCCAGGTCCCTCACTCACAGATGTCATCCTCACACTGGGCGAGATGTGAGGAGCTGCAGATCAGGACTGAGGGGTTAGAGCTGGTGATTACCCAGCTTGTTACGATGTAATGACTTCTGCTTTATTTCTCAAGCTGCAGAAAGCGGGAGACTTCATATGAACAAGCCAGGCAATCGCCCACTCAGTCCCAATCTGCAGCCCCTCCCACCTCAGCCCACTATGAGGATGACATTGGTGGTGGGCTGGAGGCCCAGGAGAGGACACCCCAGAAGGATCAGTGCTTCTACTCTGCCTATGGTACCATAGGACTGTACAGGGGAAGGTCTGCATTAAAGGGGCGCTGTGTTGTGGGCACTGTGATGTAGAGGAGACCAGGTACACTAAAGACCATAATATACCAGGGGACTGTGATGTGTTAGCAATATAACGAGATTCAGACCTCTGCTGGAAGGAAAGTTTGCTGACCGGACTTCCGTAAATTTTAATTCAAGATCCCTGCGGTAAAGGGTCATGTGTTCTGCACACCTCCTGTGTATTGCCAAATTACCTATTTTGGACTATGTTCTGTGTCAAGGGGGAGAGGAGGGGATGTGACTTGGATGCTGAGGTCTACATGAAATCTACCCACATAGACCCAGGTTCTGCTTTTTGATTTCACTACCCAATAGAACACACAACATGGAGATTAATGCTGCAACACCAACCAACCATCAGACAAGGAGTGCTGGGAAAGTTTGTGGCCACCTACATTGGGATTGAAGAACAAAAGGTCTATTCTTAATGTCATTCTATATCTGTCAGTCCAGACAATTCAGGGCAAAGCTGTCATAGCTGTATGACAGAGATGGGATTTGTGTAAAACATTCAGGTGTACAGTATATATGATGCAGAATAGCGCCAGCAATGGTGACCGCGTTCTTTATAGCCACCAGCATTTTCTGACCGG